TCGCATTCATCATCCCCCGAAGAAGATGAAGAAGAGAGGGCGAATCTATGAACCAGATTGTATTTGGACTGATGTTTCGGAAGCTTCGTCGTTTCCATCATCAGAGTAGTGTGCTCGTTGCTCCTGCCAGTCTTGAGTTGTTCAGCCTCGCTGCCTGCCGCGTATTATATCCTTGCTCCGTACACGAACTTTGACCTGCCTGTCTGCCGCTAACTGGCCTAGACCCCTCAGAGCTGACAGCTGATGGGCTTGCGTGACCTTTGCTCCCTTTGGGGTCGGCGTAGTTGTAGTCAAATCAACGTGCCTATTGGCCTATCCCGCGTCAGCCGGTGGACTGATCGGTCGTTGCTGTTCATTTAAGTAACATTCGTCTTCGTGGGCGCATCGGTAAGACAGGGTTCGGCATTGGTCACATTACCTCTGGCCCCAACTACACCCTTTTACGTGAGCGTTGATTCTTGATCCCGCGTTCTCGTTTGCCTTATTGGTCCTGCCCGAACTGACCCGAGCCTTGTACGCGGCGCCCGGTAGGCATGATGTAGATCGATAACTTGGCTGGGTGTGCCAATCGAGGACCAACTTTCGAACACCAGTTTGGTCATCTTCTCATTGGCTCAACCGATTAACCTCGCTTTCTTAAAGGCGAAATTGTGGTTCAGCTTGTCCTTGCGATTGATTACAAGTTGGCTAATGAGCCAGAAATGGCCATTCAGATCTCCCTTGTCTTGGTCGGTAATTCCATCCTACCTATATCGTGTATACATGAATTACATGCCTACATACAAAGACTTGTTACTTTCTAATACAAACATGCATATATAGGCAGAATAATATTACCGACAGAGACAAGGGAGACTGTTTCGTGTGCTTCTTCTTATGTAACCATGGAATAACTTCGGATTTTATGCAACTCGATTCAGTAGGTCTTTCTCGAAAGTACGCCGCGTCCCGAGAATTAACCTCCCAACTAGGTTCCTCTGTGCTTTGTATGCATGTAGCGGCACATAGCTCCTATCCGAGAGGAATTTTCTCCATAACCTCCGCTTTTTATTCACTTCTTTTTTTAAAGCTTGTGTTAGCCACGGGGGTCAGCTGTTCAGTTTCTTCCGTGAAATAGGACAGTGGTCTCTGAGAAGAACGTGCAGTAACTCACTAAACCAGCCCCAATCCTTGATTATACCACCGGAAAAAGCTGATTCCCGGTTTATGGTGTTTAGTTTAGCTTTCATTTGGGCAAAGTCACCGCGCCAAA